GGGTAGTATTGGGTCATAGTCACGGCAATTCGGTGATGTTTTCGGCACCAAATCGCATATTTCCCGATAAAATATGGCAGATGGAAGTAAATAACGTCTACAAAGGTGATATTTCACAGTAATAAAGAAGTATTTGGTTCATAACTGGGTCGTATGGGGTAGTATTGGGTGGTATTGGGTAGTATTGGGTGGTATTGGGTGGTATTGGGTAGTATTGGGTAATTAGACGCGCCGATTTAATGTGAAGTGGTTGTTGTAGAAAGTGCTAAGAAAAGGTGGGATAAATTGGCTATCAGTTTCGCAGGTTGAGTTTTACACGAAAATATTGCCAACACGAAAAAAGCGAAAATTAGAATCCCCCCACTAAAAAACCGTTTGCAATATTTGGTTGCATAAATGATGCAGCTGTGGAGTTTGGTACCAGTTCGTTGCTTAATGTATTGGGTATGTGTTATAACCGGAGAAATATTCACGTTCGAACTTTGAACGACTTCTGGGATCACGTTCACAGTACACGTTTCTTTAATCAATGCAGATAACATATCGACGCTCAGCCGTAATTGCTACAGTAACATAATCCTTACATAATTAGGGATGTTATTTGACTTCCATGTACGTTGTTATTGAATTTTGTGGTGTAATTAAAAAAAACTAGTCTTATAATGGCTGTGTTTAAACAAGGTAATATGAGTTCGCGCGTTAAATAACATAGGCATGTACGTCATCATCACTCGAAGAAGGTTTAAAGGTTTTAGTTGCACGACGCTTGACACCTCCTGGCTAATAGGCTTACCAGACTCGACATTATTCTGTCAACAATTATAAGTTCAATGTATAAATGACGGTGTCGAACATAGTTATATACAACAAGAAGTTGCTACGTATTGTTTTAATAGACCATCGGACTTTTTATGAATATTAAGGTTAGTCTTGATAGCACAGTCAGTGAGGCATGTCTTTAAAGACCGAAAAAAGCAGAAAAAGAATGAGACGGTCTTTCTTTGATAATCCTTCGATGAACTCTCCTGAAAACTATTTATACTATACATCTGTCTGTTTCTTCTATACATTTGCCTCCTGGGGACCGGTATAACGGAAAGACCGAGTGATAATGATAGTGCAATACTGACGCAAAGATGGCAACGCCACCAAATGTCAAACTCACCGCCAAGAATACTGCTGAGTAGGCCGACAATGCGGAATACATCGACGGGAAGGAGGTTCTGTGGACAGAAATGTCAAATGATACTGGGGATTAAAGAACAATAACAAGAAATGACCTATACGCACAAGGGCGAAATTCAAGATTAAGTTTATTAGCTACAGTCAAGTTACATATTATCCGAATGCTCGACCTTTACCATAGCTATTGTGAAGTCGTAAAACTTGAAACAAACAAAATGACCTTCGCGCGATATTTCATCGTACAGATAGGTTCGTACCTGTCTGAACACTATGTCATATCCATGCCGCGCTCAAAACAAATTAAGAGAAATGGAACCTTCACATACCATCTTTATATTTTGCACGTGCATATCATATTTTTGATTAATTAGCGTTACCATGGCGAAACACGAGTCAGCATATCAAGGGTGATTCTCCACACAATAAAATGCCGACAGAAAGAAATCAAAATGTAACGAATCCTTTCAGCATGGCCAACACCAAAATCGCGAAAATTAGAATCCCCCCACTAAAAAAAAGGTTGCAATATTTGGTTGCATAAATGATGCAGCTGTGGAATTTGGTACCAGTTCGTTGCTTAATGCATTTGGTATGTGTTTTAACCGGAGAAATATTCACGTTCGAGATTTGAACGACTTCTGGAATCACGTTCACAGTACACGTTTCTTTAATCAATGCAGATAACATATCGACACTCAGCCGTAATTGCTACAGTAAAATAATCATTACATAATTAGGGATGTTATTTGTCTTCCATTTACTTTCTTATTGAATTTTGTGGTGTAATTTAAAAAACTAGGCTTAAAATGGCTGTGTTTACACAAGGTAACATGATTTCACCGCCGAGAATACTGCTGAGTAGGCCGACAATGCGGAATACATCGACGGGAAGGAGGTTCTGTGGACAGAAATGTCAAATGATACTGGTGATTAAAGAACAATAACAAGAGATGACCTATACGCACAAGGGCGAAATTCAAGTTTAAGTTTATTAGCTACAGTCAAGTTACATATTATCCGAATGCTCGACCTTTACCATAGCTATTGTGAAGTCGTAAAACTTGAAACAAACAAAATGACCTTTAGAAAATTCCCATCGACAAATTAAATTAATGATCAAAACAAATCAACCTGTTGCCGATGACGCGTGTTCTATTAAACTCAACAGCCATAAAATACTAGATTCTCATCTAACGATCATTTAAGCACTGATATAAGGAAGTACAAATATCTCATCAATATACCTTTACGTATTTCCAGTAATCATCGCGCGATATTTGATCGTACAGATTGGTTCGTACCTGTCTGAACACTATGTCATATCCATGCCGCGCTCAAAACAAATTAAGAGAAATGGAACCTTCACATACCATCTTTATATTTTGCACGTGCATATCATATTTTTGATTAATTAGCGTTACCATGGCGAAACACCAGTCAGCATATCAAGGGTGATTCTCCACACAATAAAATGCCGACAGAAGGAAATCAAAATGTAACGAATCCTTTCAGCATGGCGTTACGTTATGTCATATTTTGCTGCAGAAAGTTGAGCATTGACTTGGTATACAGCATCCTCGATACACCAGGGGTTACGCCCACTTTCGATCCCTGCACCCCTGGAATATGTCATAGCCAAAATGAAGGCACGCTGCTAGCTATTTGATTGGTGTCAGGTAACACAAAAAACCTGATCAATCACCAGGCTGATACTTGCCATTTGAAGAATACAGAGGAGCGACGCCCGACTTCAAAGCCAGTAAGTTTTACCGTTACGCCATCGCGAGATTCTTTTGATGTACATCAAAGGATCAAACTAGCCATCTCGTCTCATCCAGAAGATGATGAACGCTGAGCCTTCGATTTTGCAATGGCATTTTCCAGGGGTGCAGAGAGCGAAAGTAAGTGTAATCATTGGATATCGAGGATGGGTTTATAGTATCTTTGTTGAATCATAGAACTCTTTATATCGTACTATCAAATATCATCCAGCACTAATATACTGAAGCGTTACAATAATACAAGTTTACAATACTATGCCCCTAGACTATATCCCAAGACTATGTCCCGATAAAAAAAATTGTCGCTTGTTTTATATTTTCATCTCTGTCTTAGGAAAGATATGTCGTGTTAAAACGCCACAACTAAGAGAACAACGGACTACTTAATCGACTAATGTTTTCAACAAGTACTGTTTTGACTTTTTGAACGATTGGTGTTTGATCAAGATTTCAAAAATGAAAATAATATCGATAATTTTTAACCAGACACATGTTATGAGTTTACTACCTGGCGTATCTAAGCATCATTTCGTCTGTCTCGGTACAGAGTTCGTCACTTCCTTGACCGCCCTGCGCGTCACAAAGCGTGTGGTTTACACGACATAGCTCCAGGAAAACTGGGCGGAGTCGACCCGTCAACAGCTTCGTCACGTCTGCAAACACCATCACTGTGAACGCCCCGAATACGAATACTCCTGCAATTGTTAAAACTCTGTATTACTATCTATGAAGATAGTTAAATACCCAGAACCCAAATGATGCAATCAAGTCAAAGTGTTTTGGGTAGCTTAAAAAACAAGTGATATCCAAATTACATTAATTACTTTTGAAATGCCAGTCAAAAGTATCATACTATATACTCATAATGCCGTAGAGTTATATTACCGTTATTCTGTCGTCACTCAGATGAAATGCCCGATACTTATATTACCGAGGTAGATATTTATATTACTGTTCTGTTATATCTAAACATCTCACTCATTTATTGCAAGATCAACAAACGATTCAAACCTGCATAGCGGCCTTTTGCCCGCGTGTGTGAAAAAAACTGGAGTTGTTATTTTTACCTTACTCTTAAATTTACTGCATATTTTTATATACAAAAGCCATAAGGTTGAGGTACTTGATTCCACACTCATTCATACCTCAGCTAATGATCAATTCTTTATCCCAATTTCAGTTCAATATTTCAATGAGTTTTGTATAGTTTGAGAATATGCATCTGTATACTGATTTTGCTTGTTTAAAAATACCAATGGCAGTATTTCAAGTTAGTCGTTACGGAATCGGTTTCTAAATTAGTTTCTACCTCCGGATTGGTTTTTTAGCCCTCCTCATCACCGGTTAAACAATCGACACTACTCTACCATTCAATTATTGTAATAACGTCGCAAACTCACCGATGAGTTTCTGCTAATTCATAATTGGCGACTGAAATTGTATCTTGCACAATCATGATAGACTTGCTTATTTTTCAAAAAGCAGCTTTACTGTAGTGCAACTGTTTTAATAGATTCCGGTGTCGTTTCGGCGAGATAAACAAGTTGGCACAGTGTTAGTCACCAATTTGTCACTACTGTCCGTCTATTCTAGAAGAAACTCCTGAGCTAAAAATATCCCAATGGTTTTCCCTTCAGTGACGTATATATTTGTCTCGAGATTTCAGAATTTGAACTGTGAGTTCAGATGATCAGATGAATACACCGCTAAACTAATCTGATACAGTTTATCGACAGTAACCAGCCCAAAATTATGCAATTATGAAATTGTTAAAAGCTTAAGATTCATAACTTTTTACAGAGGTTTTTAAAATACGAAATAATGATGAGTGTACGGTTTGGTTGTCATTTTGGATTAAAAACATACTAGTAGATCGAATTCTGACTATTCATTCTAACTCTGGACATGTCAACTTCCCTGACATAAAACGAACATGAAGACACAATCTCGAAAATATGGAGTTCGGAGTTTCACGTTCAAAGAGGAAAACTCGGGTAAAACCCCCACATATTTTTCTGATTGTGTCTTGTCTCAAATTCCTATTCTTATTTTGTTGAGCTTTACAGCTCAACCGAGTATAACACCACATGCATGACATCAACATGGTGTGCAGAACACAGCGAACAGTACAGCGGAATATCGGCAACCGTTTACATCAGTGATCTTCCAAAATCGCTACCATCGTATACATATTTACTTATTTAACATTTGCTGCATTATAAAGCTGTATTTGTTGCTTGAATATCGACAGTTATTCCTTGATAGATAGGATATACTAAATTAAAGTTATATTCGTCCTCAATATCGTGACGAACATAACAAGTTTTACATAAACGTTCAGATATTTCCTTATTTTCATATCAACCTATCTCGATATATAGATTATCTGCTGACAATCTTATATTTGCAAGTACTATTCGATTTTTCATCTGTATGTACTTTGGAAATTATGGTGTAAAATTATTTCATAGAATCATATGTTGGTAAATATGAAACTTAAAAGTGGTCTTCAAAATGTTAAATAACTCTTAGCGAGTACAATGTAATATTCGTTGCATAACCAAAGATAAACCACGAGAAGAATGAATGCCCATTATACTGTTTTAACCATAAGTCATTATTATCAAAGGGTTTAAAGGATATTTTAAACATAGTCAACCCAATCGAATTATTTTGGGGTGAATTCAGCAAAACTTCATATGCAGATTTCAATATTCAATAATAGGAGTTCCAGTATTTCATCATACAATATTTTCTTACATGTTTAATAGGAAATCTTAAATAGCTCAAAATAAGTCATGACGTTGCATTTTGACCTTTTAATATGTAGTATCTTTTTACTAAATTCGAGATGTTCCTTTTCAATATCTTATGTTTTATTGGCATCCAAGACTTCTGCTGTATAACAGATACAATTGTTCACATATATATAAAATAAAGGGTTGTACGATTCAACTGCATAGCTTTGCACTTGAAGTGCTTAGTGAGAACCGTATTTCGGCCTTATTCAGATAACTGCTTTTGAAGAATATTAACTCATTCAACCCTGAAGACACACTTGAACTCTTCCACTTCAACGTTGGATTAGTTCATTATGCATCTTCAGGGGTACTACAAAATATTTAAATTGATTTTCTTTTTCAAGTTTCTTCCATTGAGCATAACACACGCTTTTGCTCAAGGTATGTACTATAAAGTGCAAAAAAAGCATCAAACGTTCTCAAAGCGAGACGAAACCAAATTAGGTGTCTTTGAAATGTTGTTTGTTTCTGGCCAGTGTATAAGGCATTGATTCAATACTGACATTCAGCTGAAGAGACTGATTCCTCTAATACCACTAGGGTCTCTTTTTTCGTAGACTAGTTCGATAACAGCAGATGATCAAGCAACCTAAATGCAGCCTTAATTGGGCACAAAAAACATGTTTACCAGAACAGGAGTTAAATGCCATGCTTATACAATGCCATATCGGATATTGTCTACCATTGGCCATCTTGGGGAATTGCAATCGGTTTATATAGTTTTGTTATAATGAATACATGGTTAGCTCACAGCGAAACCTAGGAAAATTATTGATCAATCGGTGTGTGTACAGTGTATCTGGTAGTCAAAGTCAGAGGTCGGCATAGCAGATACTTGTTACAGACCGTTGTCAAAGTTTACGGTATTCTAAAACATTTTAATATGGTCATTTTCCCTGTGTCAGGTTACGATTCTGATCGTATATCCTGCATTACTTCGCGTACAAATTCCATTAACGTTTTAGTTATCGAAAGCCACTTGAGCATTTCTCTTGGGGATTTGTTATGTCAAAATACAACATGTGTTTCAATTGATACAGACAGCGCAACTGTTTTAAGGTTGATACATACATTTTTAGACTTATCATCTTTAAAATATTTTGCCTATGGTTTCTAGTAAGCAAGGTCGAGCCTGTCATATTGTGAACGAAGCACAAAAGTGGAATGCAGGCAGCATCTGTTTTCCTTGCACTAGAACATACCAACAAAAATCTTTTTATTTGTGATACATCATTTTACATAAAAACGTATCGACTTATTTCGCTAATGCATCGTCCTTTTCATTAGAACAAAATCAGAAGGCCGGATACTTATCTGCAGATCGTGTAACATTACAATGTATTGTCGTAACAGAATCTTCCGGGACAGCAATAAAACAAATCATGTTAGCAGACTGTGGAACAATAACATACGAGTAGTGTTGACAGATATGAAATCCTCGCACGGACAGATCGCTGAACAATAATATTGGCGAACATGAGCAAGAAAATAAAATGAGTGAAACAATGGAAATAAATATAATAAACGATTTCTCCCGGTGCATACACCTCAATACGTCCAGCAAGTGCCTGGATCATGCAGTGCACGATCAACAAACTTTGAAATATGCACAAGAACACAGACAGTGGTGAGAAAACAGGAAAGCCCAGGAATGTAGACCGGTAGTACCAGGATCATGCAGTGAACGGTGAACTAGAAACAAGAAGGACCTTGGATAGAGGACATGAAGGCAGGAGTAAACGAACGGCTTGATATTGACCTGGTGTCTAACTTTTCTGCGCCGACATGAAATTAGCATCGAATGACAAGGTGAAAAAACACCCATACATACTGTAAACCATCTAGATTTAGCGTTCTCAAATTTTAACTCTTTATCTTTCAACGGATTAGCGAATTAATGAATTGGCGCGCCCACAAAATATGCAACAGTAAACAATATACAGGAGCTCCAATCGGCGCAGTCATAATTTAGCGCAATATCTACCGCTAAACTGTGAACGTTTGCGATATCTTTATATATCGCTGAATGGAGAAGTCAGAGTAGTATGCAGTGCAACCAAGCAAAATAAAATACTTCAGTGTCTTACGTTTGAAATATTACCAAAGGATTACGAAATAGATCACGTCCACCAATATAAGCATTCCTATTAAGCATATCACGAACAGGAAAACCAATCAATTAAGTATCCTTAAAGGGAACATTAGAGGAAAGATTTCGGTCATATCTAATCATTGTTATACGTATTTGAGCATGGGAAGACCCTGGTAGTAGTATCGAATTCATCCACTCAAGTACCATCAACAAACGAAACAATGCAGCAGTGCGCAGCAATATATGCTACCACCAATCGACGACGAAACACTTCAGGTGCAACAGATATCGTATAGCGACTTGGATAGAAACGTCTAGAAACTCATACAAAAATAAGTCAACAACATTCATACAGGATAAAGAACTAATAACTATAAATCCTTAATTGGGATTTCACCACATAGAAGGACCGTCCGATTAACAGTTCAAAAAACGCCATTTACATCTATCCAGCTGAAGATATGCTAGTAAGATGTCCATCTTTTGGTAGATGGGCTCGGTTGTGTTTGGGTGACATATATTGTGTGTGTGATTGGTCTGGCCATCTTGAATGAATAACATGTATTGTGTATATGATAGACTTACCCCAAAGGGACAGGAAAACTAGTAACAGGACATTTGTTCGTACCTATCCCGTCAAGGGTACTACTAGACGTTAAGAGGTTGCGAAAAGCACACGATTGAAAAGTTATCACCACAGTATGGTATAGGAAGAAAATTGACTCCAACCTATTTTTCTGGGAGCAAAATATCACTCTTTGTGAGTGTATTGTCGATGAAAAAAGAAATATTTTCACAAAATGATAATAGTAAAACCTTTCATTTTTCCAGGGTGACATAATTTAGACAAGTCTTAACATAAATATCCGTTTTCTCCGAAATTACACGCCAATTCGATGTTCCAAGGCTTCCCCAGCCTTTATGGCAGGAATTTTTAAGAAATTGACGTTAGGTTCTCGCAAACACTGTAAGACTCGTTTGCTGAATTTTTCTGTTAGATGCGCGTTTTCGGGGCGGAATTTCATTAACTTTGGTTATTAAAATTTTAACAATTGTTGTGCATTCAACTATCTCTTAAATATTGAAGGTTGCTGAAATATCGACCAGGACAACGATTTGACATCAACTTACCTGTAAATCTGATGAGTCTTCTAACAACTTGCGGAACCTTCATACCATTGCAAGACAACCAGATTGGTTTCTGCCTCTCGTCAGTAAAGGCCCAAACCCCAATCTCACCTACAAGTACCTGCAAAATAATTGATAATAATAACAATTCGATGTTCCTATATACCGCGTTATCACAACCTAGTTTGTAGGTCGTCTCAAAGCGGTTCACAAATTATTACCCATGGTAATAGGGTCTTTGCAACCAGCCAATACCTTTCTCAACTCCCTGGGAAGCGTACAGCCAGCGCTGTCATTTCGGCCCTCACGGCTAGCATTCAACATTTATAGTACTGCCCAACAATGTACTCGTTTACAGCTGAGTAGACTGGAACAAGGGGAGTAAAGTATCTTGTTTAAGGATACAACACAGCGCCGTGACGGGATTCGAGCCCGCAACCCTTCGGTCACGAGCCCGGCGTCCTACCACTAGACTACCGTGTCTTCAAAACATGTATGCAATGGTACATTCTACCACTCATCTGTAAAGGCCCACAACTAATGAGTTTCACGGTTCCCTAACTAATCAAAAACTTGTTTATATCCAATATCACTTGTTTGCAATAACGCCAACGCTCAAATCTTAATCTCAACGTGTTTAATATTTCCGAATAAAAAAAACCCCGTAAGATCCATTCATTGTCTGCAATACGATGATTGTTTGCATCAGACAATTATTACTCATAACAGTGTATCGTAGGACTATAACTTTAAACTCACAACAGTCAACTGTTAGTATAGCACAAGTTTATATTTACATATGTATTAAATATCCCTACTACACGGTCAGCTCATCAACTGATTACAATGACAGTAGTCTTTCTATAAGTGTGTTTCACAGAACTAGCTACGAGCAAACTTACAACGAAAGGAGGAACACAGAAGCTCAGGGCATAGATCGTGGCGTGGGGCACACTACCCTCGTAGATAAAGGTGGAGAAGCCGGACTCGGCGGACCGGACGCTGATTAACGGATCATTGCAGGAGAAGGAAAGTCGAACGATCGGGAACAGTGTCGTCCATCTGGAATGCAAAAATATGTAATTTATCCTCATTTAAACATTCATACATGTTCAATAGGGAATAGGTTAAAGTGAATCTGTTAGTTTATCTCTAGTTCTTACCTTATGTATTAAACTGACAATGCTTTATAAGTTTATCTGTTAGCTTATCCCTAGTTCTTACCTTATGCATTAAACTGACAATACTTTTTAAGTTTATCTCTAGTTCTTACCTGATGTATGGAACTTACAATGCTTTATAAGTCTATCTGTTAGTTTATCTCTAGTTCTTACCTTATGTATTAAACTGACAATGCTTTATAAGTTTATCTGTTAGCTTATCTCTAGTTCTTACCTGATGTATTAAACTGACAATGCTTTATAAGTTTATCTCTAGTTCTTACCTTTTGTATTAAACTGACAATGCTTTATAAGTTTATCTGTTAGCTTATCTCTAGTTCTTACCTGATGTATTAAACTGACAATGCTTTATAAGTTTATCTGTTAGTTTATCTTTAGTTCTTACCTTATGTATTAAACTGACAATGCTTTATCAGTTTATCTCTAGTTCTTACCTGATGTATGGAACTGACAATGCTTTATAAGTTTATCTCTAGTTCTTACCTAATGTATTAAACTGACAATGCTTTATAAGTTTATCTCAAGTTCTTACCTGATGTATGGAACTGACAATGCTTTATAAGTCTATCTGTCACCTTATCTCTAGTTCTTACCTTATGTATTAAACTGACAATGATTTATAAGTTTATCAGTAGTTCTTACCTTATGTATGAAGGTTGGTAAGTATGGATTATAAAAGTTTCTTGTAACACAACGAATAAGTGTTTCTTTGTGACGTTTCGATGACTTGTACGATATATACTCTGTCGTTATCATCCAAAACATGACCAGAGAAGCGTATATACACACAGACGTAAAATGTGTACGAGTTGTCCACAAATCGATGTCGATTCGGCTACACTCTAAGCGTATGCACAATTATGTGTTTTATATGTACCGACATCGATTTGTGGACAACTCGTTCACATTTTACACCTTTGCGTGCTAGTCATCGAAACGTCACATAGAATCACGTATTGGTTGTGTTACAAGAATATTTTCATAATTGTCAGATTATTCATTGTTCTGACAATGCTTCGGCGGTTAAATCGTTATAATTGGGATAGTTGGTGACTTCAGTGTACAAAACAATACAACAGCAAAAGTATTCGAAAATATATACATGTACCTTCAATGTTGTAAAGGCTTTGTGTATGGTTTAGATATGTAGATATACAAATCTGAACAAGTCAAGTGGGTCACAGTTTAGGTCGTTAAGCCTTACGACCCAGTTAATAACAAACATGAAAAGTGATAATAAACATTAGTTTGACATATCTCCCTGTTGTGACCTACAGTTAATCTTACACTATACGCGGGTTGACTCGTTTGACATGAAAATCATGCCAAACTAATAAAACAGCTACTAAAGGGTTTAAAAAAGGCGCAAAGGGTCTGTAAGGCTCACCTGATTTACATTTTATTTATTGTAAACCCAGAGGAATATTTTCCTAAATAAATTTGAAAGTGCAGTAAATGTACGAGGTAATCAAAGGTCATATCGGCCAATTTCAAATTGATAAAAAATATAAAGCAACGCTTTTTCAAGAACATCTTAAGGCAAACATCTGAAATAGCATATTGGGAATCCGTCAACCGTGTCCTAGTTTATCAGAGGCCATGTAGCCATCAAAGACTTCACGTTAACCTTTTAACCACTGTAGACCATAATGGACTCATCCATAGCAATGCATGGTAGAGTGAATTAAAGTTAAATAGGGGTGAAAGGGTAAATCAGAAAATGTACTAGTCGAAAACCATAACAGGTAACCAACTGTAGTTAAAACCGAAATAGTCAAGTAAGGAAGAGATTTACTGACGTCGCTGATCACTGTACAGCCCCGCCCACTAGCTAGCGGCCTGTTCGTTTATGGGGAACAACTGGCACGTCCGTTTTCAGATGTAACATTTTCGGGTATAAACCATGGCGGAACTGCACAAGTTTATGCAGACCTTGCAAGGCTTTGTCAAGACTCGCCTGAATGCCACATGATCAGATTACTAGGTCCAACTTGTTTCATTAATGAACAACTCTGGTCCAACCGGTTCAACCGTTTGCATCGCGATAAACGAATGCGGTCCAACATTTCTGGCAAGTCAGCTGATACAGGATACATACAATAGGAACCAAAACCATGACAGAATACTGCAGCTATATTAGATAATAATAACGTCAACATCAGCCTAACGAATACCAACCTGGCAATATTCTGCATTTCTTTTAGACAAGGATTACGTCTATATTAACATAATGAAGAATACCTTGAAAGCATACACCAACTATGTACACATCACAGCCCAATGCAATACTAAAACACTGTTAGAAAAAGTGTAGGTCAACATTGATTAAGGTTATGGCCAAGGTTTATGGTCACCATCATCTCATAATAAAATATCCTGTTTTTAGCGATATAGATGTCAGCTTTGGTCATTTTTGTGCCTTGTTGTTTCATTTTAAGACGTGGCATTACTTTGATTTGACCTTTATTAGCATAGTGGGTGTCGTCACGTGGCATTACTTTGATTTGATCTTTATTAACATGGTGGGTGCCGTCACGTGACATTCTTTTATTTGACCTATATCAACACGGTTGGTGCCGTCACGTGACATTACTTGGATTTGACCTATATCAACACGGNCATTACTTTGATTTGATCTTTATTAACATGGTGGGTGCCGTCACGTGGCATTACTTTGATTTGATCTTTATTAACATGGTGGTTGCCGTCACGTGGCATTACTTTGATTTGATCTTTATTAACATGGTGGGTGCCGTCACGTGGCATTACTTTGATTTGATCTTTATTAACATGGTGGTTGCCGTCACGTGACATTACTTGGATTTGACTTATATTTACATAGTGGGTGCCGTATTCTCTTGTACTTCTTAAAATGATGAAATACTGCAACTCTATTAGAAATAGATTACGTCAGAATCGATATCTTCACAAACACTATATATATTTAGTTAGAAAAGGGTTACATCAGCATCGATATTTCCATAAAACACAATAGTTGGAAATATATTACGTCAACCTATAAATCTGACAAAATAGTACTACACAGTCAGAAATAACTGACGTCAGCTAAAACAACGAAATTGTCGGTATATGTTATAGAATTCACTAAATATAAACAGTTAAACTAAGTAAACAGTCTTAAATCGGACATACGAATGGTTACTGTAAACAATAACTATGTTAATAAATCAATTTTACCTGAGAAAGTATTCCAACACAACCATGAAAACAAGTATTATCAGTTCCAACAAAAATGTGGCTAAAACGAGGCTGTTTTTTCGCGCCTTTTTCTCAGTGTCTTCCCCTCCATCATCCTCTCGTGTTTGATTGACAATGAACGTTTCTATACCATCCTTCCGGTTAGTTTCGTCAACTGCCATTTCTGTGGAGGAATGGATTACAGAAATATTAGAGGCAATATCATTACACAGGCAGTCATACAAGCCGATATTTATCAGTAGACAAGACATCTATGTATAATAAACTCCTACAATTGACGTTTTGAATTTCAATGAGAAACATTTTCATGCAGTACAAATAAAAAAGTCACCCCTCCATCTTTGTTTTAAAAAGGGCCTTTACCTGCTTCACATGGACATTTAGTATTTTTTTATCAAATATTTAAAAGGAGTTAAATTACATGTTCTCAGATGAAACAATGAAATATCTTTTTTATGTGGGTATATGTACATGGCTTCAGCGTTTTTGTGTTATTGAAAGGATGAGGTAAAGCGATAATCCCTTGAGGATGTGAATATCTAGGTGTCTTTTATTTCGTATTTGAGGGTCACTAGAGCAATCAGGTTTTACCTTCGTAACACTCAGGAAAAGAAGTTGCTTTTTGTATTATATTTTAAAACATCTAAGTTCATCTTCTCTGTTTACTACGAGATTTGTAAGGGGACTTCATTAAGACATTATGTTTAATACTAATACAAATATACATAACGCAGCTCATGTGAGGTTTCTGTACTACAGAACCGTACGTTCAAAGGGAGGTAAGTATTTGTTATATTTAAAGCATAGAAATTAGCTTAGTTCAGTGCACTTATTTTATGAAGAAAAAACACAAGTGAGTGTGTGGCATTTTTTTCAGTACATTTCAGTACATATCATCACATTATTGCGCAAGGACGTTAGGCAGGTAAAACCAATGCTCCACCGAAGAACGCTTTCGCGATATAATGCATTATTTAATTAACATCTCCCTCTCGATAGCACTGTTTTACGTTAATAAATACCGGTTAGATTTCGTCGGGTCGTTAGAATATAGGTCGAGACAGATTATTCGATAGAAAGTGTTTCTTAACAGTCAAATGAGCGAAATGAATTTAAATATATTTTTACTTGAGGATAATTAGTAAAAATTCATTTCTTCCTCAATGTTTCAGTTCAGACTTAGTTTTAAAGTGTAGTTTGTCGTCTTACAATTCTTGTTCATATTTCCAAGTGCAGCTTCCGTCTTATATTCCCTGTCTAGTTTCCGTCTTATATTCCCTGTCTAGTTTCCGTCTTACTTTTCCATTGTAGTTTGTTGTCTTATAGTTTAGTGTGCGTGTCCTATTTAGACTTTGAACCGTCTAGACACACCTATAGTGTGATTGTTGTAACATTGTAATTTACAACTTCCTTTACCCATTAAGGAATAAATAAATGTCGTACACTCTAGATATGTCGCATTTCTCTTGGAATGCACTAGAGAAAACATTTTTAGAAAAGTCATTTAAAAAGAATTATTACAACACAAGCCTCCAGAGGTCGCCGTTTACATGTTTAGCTTCGTATTATTGCTGAAACACCAGTCTAATTATGCAACTTAACAAATTACTTTGGCAGACATCTTTTAGCTAATAACGTCGCTAATTGTGATTATTTACTTCACCAACACTGTCGGCTACAATGACAATAATGAATGACCCACACACGTTTTGCATGTATACCAGGGATGTACTTATAAATTGTCCATGTGCATGTAATTAGCTAATATATACAACATTGCTGTCAGCTTGTATTTACAAATGTGTTTTTTGTTGTCTAAGTGTATTGCTACCTTCATATGAAGAGCATAATTGATACATTAGTTTGTCTCCTTTTATTATTAAAATCTCTCATATCTATATAGCGATGTAAAATGTGCATGGAACTGACCAATTGAAATACTCGATAAAATCAAGCAAATCAAAAATAATTTAAAATATGTATTCAAATACTTTAAAGCGTTAACTTGAAAGAACAAATCGAAATTAAGATGCACCCATGCGGAGCTGCCATCATGTTGCCGGTCAAATCCCTGTACGTATGACGGTAACAAAGGATTTAAACGACAAAGAACACGTCTGTAACTACAGAAGACACTGACAGCTTTCTAAAAAATCATTCTGACGACTGTAAAATTTGTGAAGTGTTGCTTGTAGCCACTACCATAGAAACCCCAGGCTACGTAGTTGATTACTCAACAAAGTATATATATCAAGAAAATCCTAAAACAATAGGTACAGGAGAAGCGAAGCTACTGTAACATACAAAATATATAAGAATTCACAGTCGATAAAAAAAGGGAACTACATAAACTCCAAAACAAACGGAATTAAATAAAGAATAAAATAAAGAATTAATTAATTTACGTAAATGCGAGAGTTTTTTTCTTGTTTTAGTCCAATACAACTTATCTGAACACGAACTACAGAAACTTCAAAATAGAAGGAATAACACAAAAAGTACAGGAGAGGTATCATTATTTTAAGTTTAACGCAAGGTGTTTGCTTGTCTTCGCTCAACACGAGTAACACCGACCACTTACTACAGAAACTCCAAATCAAGAAAGGGCTAAGGTGTTGGATGCTTACAATACTAATTGTCCATATTCCATCTTAACTGTTTGTTTTTACTTCTCATTATTACACAATTATAAAACCTCTACAGTAATACTTATAGACTCGAAAGCGTGATGGAAACGTGATATAAACTATTCTTTGATCATCTCTGTTTGATTCAGGTGACTGTACTTGCAGCATAGAAATCTGTCCACTGCAAACAACAACACGGCATCTGTGTCTGTATCTCCACAATCTAGATCATAACCAAGGTAAGAGTCATTATCTGAGTCATGGCCATGACTGCACTGGTCCACAATTATCCTTCATTTATCCCGGTCCGTCTGGTAACTTTATCATGTCCGGAGAAGGGGTTGTTAGTCTGAGTTCTGGACTGATACACAGTTTTAGCATGTTAACATGTATTAGAGACTTCACAACTGGCAATGTTTTAGACTGTATCTGTGATTATTCAATGCATATATGATGTAGAATGGTCCAACTAATTTCTGACAAAGCTTAGCAAGCAGAAAATCCTACGGGTACTCTTTGGCAGTATCGCCATGCTCTCTGTCCCACACAAAAAAGTCCTGCACTTTGCCCTCACCAGTTTTTCTTCTTCTTGTATTTGAGCTATGCTTTCTCTATGCTACCTCTCGCAACTCCCAAGAAAATCTCACGAGTTTGTATGAGTTTTCTTACATGAAAGTTTGCTGCCCTAAGGAGCTTTTTTATTTGGATTCAATGATGTGTAAAGTGGATATGCAACATTCTCGTCCAAAGAAGAGGAACTATTGGTAATTGAGATGATCGTACTGACGATCCAGCTCTATAGCTTATTACAATATGAAGTTTGTGATTTGATAAATTATGTGTACAGTTCTACAAGAATCAGTGGTAGATAGCAGCCTTAGCGGGCTCAATATCTACAAACATTTTAGGGAAATTCTACCCGAGGATTTTTGGCAAAACCCCTCGGGTGGAATTTTCCTATCCTACACCCCTGGACATGAAAGAGACTTATATTATTGCTTTAAGGAAACGCGTCACCTCGTTTTGAGAATGAATCTACGATGAACAATAAATACATATACCCTTGTGTGGTTTTAGGCACTGGTCCGTATACCATTACGTATATCCGTATGTCCGACTGAACACATCCTGAATGGGGCAAGATTTCTATGCCTTGGTGACCTTCTGTAATGACTCATCACGATATGTTCGCGAGATACCAACTCTTTGATAACTCTCTCGACCTTCAAATTGACACAGACAGTGTTTTAAGTGATGTTTTATCCTTGAAAGACAAACAGGGATATAAACTTACTGATTTTACATTGAAAAGTGATCTTTTTTCCAGATATATCTGACAATAAGATGCAGGACACAGCCCAGGTAATCGAGTTGGCTGAGCTGCAAGAAAAAGAGCCGCAAAAATAAGTCTACCAGCAGTCATCTAGATTTGATGCTCCTCATCAAAAAGGTGACCTTGGTAATATTCTTAAGGAGGGGTTGTGCCAAAATACTGGCTGAAACAGCCTAAAAGTGAGAGTGAAGCCGACAGTGGAATAAATAATTTTACAATAATGTGTTGGGAATTTCTCCTCCGGACCTTAACAATGTCCTCAGCTACTTTGTGATGGAGGAGAGGAATAAAGACGGAGGTGAATATAGACCCGACACTATTTATGAACTAATAATTACCACTCCGCACCACTTCCGCACCAGTGGTCGTTTTGTGAACTTTCTCGATGACGGTGACTATTCGGGACTTCGTAATGTCCTAGACGTCAACATGAAAACGTTGTCACAACAAGGCCTTGGAATTCAAAACTACAAGATGCTATGAGAACACTATATGCCAGGAGAGATGTCCTGTAAGGATTTACCAGAAATACATCAACTGCCCTTTTTGTGTGTGTTTTTACTTACCTGGTACCAATATTGTTGTACCTGTACTAAGACAGAGGGGCTGCAGAGGTTTTATCTATTGTCAGCTACAGGTAAAGTCTCCAAAATCCCTCGGTTAAAGTACAAAAACAACAATGAATGACATCATGGCTTTGTTTTAATCTACGAATGCTCTCAATAGATTATAGATTAATAGAATATTTCACCCCCTTTGGGGTGAGACAGGGTAATCTCAACCCGAGGGGTAAGATTCTAGATTCTAGATTCTTAAGTTGTCAAACTCGAGGCTTGCCGAGGGTTTGACAGCTTAAGAATCTTACCCCGAGGGTTGAGATCACCCTGTCTTGCACATTTAGGCACATGTCTCGATACTCATGTGAAGTTTCATTGGAATCCAATGTATAGTTTCTGAGAAAATGCATGGACAAAATATAAGAATTATAAGAAACGGAGTGAAACCAATAGGTCCCCCACTTTGTTTGTGGGACTTAATAACAATAGTTAGAGGTTCTTATATACAACTTTATCACAACCTAGTTGGGAGGTCGTCTCAACGCGGTTCACAAATTATTATTCGTGGTTATACAGAGTATTTGCTACCAGCCAACGTCTTTCTCAACTCCCTAGGAGCATACAGCCGGTGCTGCCATTTCGGCGCTCACGGCTAGCATTCAACAATTCTAGCATTGTCCAACCACGTATTCATTTACAGCCGAGTAGACTGGACAAGTGGAGTAAAGTTTCTTATTCAAAGATAAAACACAGGGTCATGACGTAACTCGAACCCGCAACCCTTCGGCGTCCTACCACTAGACTATCGTACCTCCAAATTATGACAGTTATATAGATGAGAGCGTATACGACGCCGCATCACGTCCAGCCAAATGCTGCCTATATTGCATCAACCGAAATTATTCAAATTTTAGATAGACACTATCGGAAAATGGATGTTGGTTGTTAATGTACACCTTTGGGGAAAGTCATACATTAATGATAGATAAATGTTCGTCAAAAGATGGAGGCCTCGACATACTTCACAGCTTGTTATCGCATTCAATACCACTTAAATAGTGTCACCGACAACTTCCGCAATACAATTAGTACGCAAACCTTCTCTAACGAGCCTAGATTAAGGACAATTTGCTAAGTATAAGGTGCCGCACGTGTAGTATACATACATACAACTTATTTATATACACGTGTTTATTTTGCAAGAGCTATTCGTGCTTGTAATAGTTTATCAACGTCATTCTATGAAAAGGATTGAAATGCTTTTTGTGTGATTATCTAGCACTACAAAAACGTTAGATAATAAACATGTATCAGTTAATGGAAAACATGCGTTTGGTGTTTGCACCATCATCAATTCATTTTAAATATCGCCACAGACGTCCTTAAATGATCTGAGCTGTTATAAAGGACTTTAACCTGCTAACCAGATTTAGTACAGTGAACCCTGTTTATTCCGACCCCTGATCATTCCGGCATCCCGTTATATCCTTTTGTGTCGAGAAGACTACGGGCAATCATGGAAGCATGAGTTCGTATCATCATGCCAAGAAATTGTATATAAGGTTAAAGGGTAGGGATCTAATAAGTTTCCGTGTTATGGCCAAGGGACCAAGTCAACAGGGGCGGGGTCAGACTCTGAGGCCAATCCTTGTAGCATGAGTGTATATCTGTATCCGTCCCTTAGTCATCTTCATGCCCAGCAAATATGTGTACTTTTAGCGTTGGGTTCTCACAATAGTTTCCAGGAAATTACCAACAGCATAGTCCCGAGGAAGGAGGTAAGACCCCGGGATCAATCCAGGAAGGATTGAAGTAATCGTTTGGTTATGTAGTAGGTTGTCTATAGGAAATACAAATTTACACACAAAATCCCTGTATGGACCCAAACCCACCGCGGAGTCACACCAACTTCATTAAACACAATATCAAATTCCCATGGTCCACGGATTTTCTAGACCGGAATTGGTTTAAATCATTTCACATATTGTGTCATCCCTCGTTATTATTATCTCGTATGTGTTCTGACATCTGTCATCAAACGTACCGAGTATATGTACTGACTACTTTGAAAATGCTGAAAGAAAATACATGTTGAAAAAGAAAAGATTTCCTTCACAAAATATGTACTCCTATAGCCCCCAACCTATGTATTAATCATGGTATTGACTATCATTAAACAGCACTGGAATAAAACATACATGGCTATACTTTTTCCAGGTAAACTACATATTATAACTTGATATGTATGGGGTTTTTTTCTTTTTTTACATATTATTTATTTTATGACCACATATAATATACTCCGAACATGGTACATAGTATTATGTCTTTATTTGCAACGTAATAACCTTCTGCTGGTAAGACTTGAAACTTTAAGTATCTACCGCGGTATTTTTAGTGTAATTGATGAATATATGAACGATTTATCATAATGTTCATAATTATAAACAATATTGTACAATTAACGCCCAACTTATGCAGCAAGCTTACTACTTACCTGACTACGGTTTACGTTAATATACTGTCCTACATGTCCACAGCCACAAGCTACCGTTCTTGTTAAACTTGAACTTACAACTTACCTTAACAGTCGATGTTTTCTTCCACATCTGTTCCTTACTCCGCGAGCAGCATCTTGAGGCTAATCATCTAACAATAGTACTCCAGTCGACACAGTCAACTAAATGTAAAAACGTAAAAGATTTAGGTAGCAGATGTCTCAAATTTATAATGTCAGTTTCAATTGTTCGTCCTTGGTGATGGTATATGTCAAATTAGCAGCTTAAGGTAGAACGTGTCAACAATGTGAAACAGACTATAACATGCTAATGACTTTATAATTTCTACGCGCTGTCAATTTAATTCTTTTCACGTCACCTGAAAAAAAATGGTCAACGTGAAATATGTAAGTATTAACTATGTCATCCTTTAGGAATGTTTATTAATTATGGGCGAAGGGTTATTAAGTGGCAAATTGAATTTAATTACTGAGTAAGTACTCCATGAAGCAATTATACGGTTGTGTGTATATTAAAAATATTTATAAACTGATTTGTTCCTTTTAGTTAAACATATTCAACCAGAATAAATTAACTAGTTCATGTTATCGTTTTCCCTTTCTTAAACCGCACATGTACATGTTTAATAAGGTTATGAGTTAACAGGTTTCTTCTATAAATCAGTTAAGGGTTAAAATATTCAGAACGTAATATAAATAGATGTATATGCGACATTAATACCTCCTCACCGGTTTATTATTCTATATGATTGGAGTGATTGAACTAGATCTCATACAGCGGCTTTGTTAAGTGTACTAACCGTATTTATACAGGGGGCCTTGCATGAGGTTTTTAGTCTAGTATGATTGATGTAGGGAACATCTTGAAGTCAGCTAGCCCCATTCTTGTACAGGGCTCTAAAAGGTTTTCTTACCTCATTGTTGTAAGGTGCTCCTTAAAGTTTGCCTACCTCATTGATATAAGAGGCTCTTTGAGGTTTATCAGCCTCATTGCTTTAGGGAGCACATCAGCGTTTTTCTAGTCTCATTGATGTTAGGGGCTCCTGAAGATTTGCTAGCATCATCGATACTCCTTGCAGTTTGCTAGCCTCATTGATGTAGGGAGCTCCTTGCAGTTTGCTAGCCTTATTGATGTAGGGAGCTCCTTGCAGTTTGCTAGCCTGGTTGGTGTAGGGAACTCCTTGCAGTTTCCTAACCTCATTGCTTTAGGGAGCTCCTTAAGATTTGCTAGCATCATCGATGTAAGGAGCTTCTTGCAGTTTGCTAGCCTCATTGATGTAGGGAGCTCCTT